CTCAAATGTCACCTTAGTTTTTTTAAAAAAATATGTCTTTACTGATTTCAGAGAGAGGAGGGGAGAGGAAGAGAGAGAGATAGAAACATCAGTGATGAGAGTCATTGATTGGCTGCTTCCTGCACGCCCCCTACTGGACATCCAGTCCACAACCCAGGCATGTACCCTGACTGGGAATCGAACCTAGATTTTCTAGATCATAAGTCAATGCTCAACTGCTGAGCCACTCCAGGCCGGCCTCACCTCATTTTCTAACCCTTTTCTGACTCCCAGTTTTAGTTCAGATCTCCCTTTTTTGTTTTTTAACTGTAAATTTTCTGTTCATATTTTTGTCCTAGCTTCCTGCATTGTAATTCATCAGGTTCCATAGCTGTGTTCTCCATTAGACTATATGGACTCTGAATACAGAAACGTTTTTATTGTTTTAATCCCTGTGACTGACACAAAATAAACCCTTGCTAAAAACACCAGGAATAAATGAGTATTAATGTAAGGAGATATATCTCGAGGTATATAGGATGGAAGTGCAAAGTAAAACCAGCCAGACATAGAAGTAGGGACAAATCTGCATGATCTCATTTCTTTGTGGAATCTTAAAAAACGTTGAACTAGTAGAACCAGAATGTAAAATGGTAATTGCCAGGAGTTAGTGTCAGGGAAATGGAAAGATATTGATCAAAGAGTACAAATTTCATCTGTATTAATTTGAACAAATTAATTTCTCCAAACCTGAGTTTCCTATTGGTCAAAGACAATACTATGATACAGCATGCCTGTGAAGTTAATATCTACAAAATATAGACCAGTTTATTTATTTATTTGTATTTATTTATTTTTTAAATATATCTTTATTGATTTCATAGAGAGGAAAGGAGAGGGATAGAGAGATAGGAACATCAATGATGAGAGAATCATGGATCGGCTGCCTCCTGCATGCCCCCAACTGGGGATCAAGCCCGCAACCTGAGCATGTGCCCTCACGGAATCGAACCGTGATCGCTTTGGATCCTGGGTCCACGCTCAACCACTGAGCCACACCTGGCCGGGCTAGACCAATTTAATGATCAGCATTTAGTTATCAGTGTTACAGATATTTACAACTCCTACCTTCATGGCCTGATATCTTATTAGTTTCTCTCAGGGCTTAGATGTGGCTGCAACTTAAATCTATTCCCTAAAGAGGAAGAGTTTTTTTGTTTGTTTTTAAGTTAAATGTTGATGTTAAGAAATTTAAACTCAAGTCCATCTTTATGTAGCCCTGTTTCATCTACCTAAATGATGCTGTCTGATATACCCAATCCAGCATCAAGTAAATTCAAAAAAATCTGGAACTAAATATAGGGGTTGATTTAGTAAGTTCACAATTAAGATTGAATTGTTTTTTAAGTTTCCTAGAGGAGGCTCTAGCTTTGAGGCTCAAGAAACTGGATCTAAGGATATCCTACTTGTGTTATCTTCAGGACTGTATTGCCTTGTGTGATTTAGATCATCAGCTTTTTACATTTTTTTAGCAGAATTTTTGTGGCTAATAAAACATGCACTTAATAACTTTTTTTTGCATAAATAAAGGAAAGTATTCCACATCAGATTTAGATCAAGAGATAGATTTTCAAAAGAAAATGATGGATGTATCCTCTGGGAACAGTGGAATGCAGACATATTCTGTCTATGCGTTTAAGGCATTTATGAACAATTCCACACCCACATCCACATAAATACACACACAGTGGTCACAACTGCATCTCCAGACGCTGCCTCTCTCCCCTGTCTCATTTACAAAGTGCATCCATTGTTTTCCATAACATGAAATAAATCCCTCTCTTTTGCCCAGTGGTGAAAAGCTTATATAAATACTAAAACTTCAACTATTCCCCGGAGTTTTATGTTGGCAAGCCTCCAACTATGGGTTTGTTTGGTTATTGACATACATTTTTTTGTGTAGATCTTTCAGGCCACTTGGGTGAGTCCAGTGATGATAAATTCACTTGTCTGGAAAGTTTAGCAGACTAACCATTATAATACTGTTTATGAAAACTTAAATAATTAACACTATGATTGAAAAGGCTCCATATTTGCAGTATCTCTTTTATTCTTTCAACATACATCATTTTGGTGATATATATCTGCATAAATCTTTATAAGTCTTAGCCAGGAGATGACTTTAACAGTCATTGAAAAGAACATATAGATGTGAAGAATCGATTAGTGCAAGACATTTAATCTTGTATTTTGGGGTTCCTATGAAGGAATAATTTTTTTTAACATTTGGAAATGAAATATTTTATTTTGTAATAAGTAGGGATAATTAACATTACTAAGCTGTAATTAAAATGTATAATGAAAAAAATCTTTGTGATAATGGAGAGAAATAGAAAGGCATATTTAAGGACAATAATCAAGGCACTCTCTAGATGATTGTAGAATAAGCGGATGCATGAATAGAATTAATTTTATTCCTCGTAAATTGTAATATTACCTTCATTAAAAAATTTTATCAGATCCTGCCCAGCCGGGCATGGCTCAGTGGTTGAGCACTGACCTAGCATCCAGGAGATCTCTGTTAGAGTCTGGGTCATGGCACATGCCCGGGTTGCGAGCTCGATCCCCATTCAGGGGCATGCAAGAGGCAGCCGATCAATGACAACTCTCATCATTGATGTTTCTATTTCTCTTTCTCCCTCTCCCTTCCTCTCTCTGAAATCAATAAAGATATATATATTTTTAAAAATTTATCAGATCCTTATTTATATGGAAATTATAATATAAAATAATAATGTAAATTATTATTATTTTTAAATGTAAAACCACAAAATTATATTTGACCAATGGTTCAAAGACTGAATCAGAATGGGAGTGTTGCTTTGATACCTTTATATATTGCAGTCTGATTACCATCTTAGCATAAACTAACACCTCCATCACATCATATATTTATTATTTCTTTTTGTGGGGAGAACAGTTAAGATTTTGTCTGTTAGCAGCTTCAAAGTTTGTAATACAGTATTGTTGACTATAATCACTGTGCTGTGCATCAGTTCTCCAGGACTTTTCTACTAGTTGCAAGTTTGTGCCCTTAAATAACATCTCACCAGGAATGGTTTCAATTTTTGAAAGTCACCAAGGCTTGAGTTATGGCCCAGCATATGGTTAGTTGTGGTGTTTGATATTATTGATGTAATTGTAAATGGTATTGTTTGTAAATTTCAATTTCTGATTACAAACAAAATAAACTGATGAACAAAATAGATCCATAGACATAGAAGCATGGAAAAGACTGGGGTATATCAGAGGGAAGGTGGGGGTGGAGGAGTGGTTGGAGAGAGATTAATCAAATAACTTATTTGCTTATATGTATAACCTATGGACACAGACATTGGTATGGGGAAGGTCAGGAGATGGGGTGGATGCGGAGTGGAGAGGATCAATGGGGGGAAAAAGGGGACATCTGTAATACTTTCAACAATAAAGATAAATTTAAAAAGAAAAAGAAAGAGCAACCAGAGTGGATAGGAAGAAGTAAAACTGTCTCCTCAGGTAACATGATCATCTATGTAGAAAACCTGATGGAATCGAAAAAAAACCTACTGGAACTAACAAGTGATTTTGGCAAGGTAACAGGCGGCAGATCTATATACAAAAATCAATTGTATTTTTATATACTAACAACAAATAATCAGAAATTGAAATTATTTTTTATAAATATATATGAACAGTATAGTTCATATGGTAGTCTATCTTTTAGAGAATACATTAGTTCAAATGTTTTTTCTTTTGTCTTCCTTTGTATTTACTAGGTGGCAATCAGAGAAGTGTCCTCAAAGTATTGGTAGTGTTTTTATACTTTTTTCAATAATGGAAGAAGTCCATTTCTGTAATATAAATTTTCATGGAATCTGCAGATCTGAGATTAATTCTAGCTATGTATAAGAGAGCTGAATAGAAGTTCATGAATACTAAACATTGCTACTGTATTCACTCTAGTTCTTTCATATTAGTGAAGCAGTTTACTTGCTGCCAGTAACCTACTTTAACTAATGCTTTAAAAAAAAACCTTTTCACTTAGATTATGTTAAAAATAATTTGCTAATTTAAACAATTAGCAATTCTAAAATTCTTCATATATACAATTGATGAATGTCTTTGAGGATCCAATATTCTGTCTCTCTTAAAAGAGAAGAAGTATAAAACAGCAAATTTCATTAATGAATTAGGTTCCCTTTCCTTTCTTATAGAGAAAATAAAGGAAATCAAATAAGCATTTATGTCTATGAAGTCCAATTTTAAGTTATAGTTAAAACAAAACAAAGGTAAAGGACTTTAATGAATTTGAGTGTTGTTCGCTGAACTGAGTCATGTAAGTCTTTACATGTCTAAATTTGTTCTGATTAGTAAGTCACAGTACGGATAAATAATAGCTAATATTATTGTTAAGTAATGGTTGTGTCTGTTAATTATGATGAACTTGGAATGTAATGATGATAAAGCATGCATGTTTCTTTTAAAACAATCATATTTTTATTTATTTATTTATTTATTTTTATTTACTTATTTGGAGTAATATAGTATATCATTGTCTAACCTGATATACTATGCCTGAGACCTAAAAAATACTTTGTCCAATAATATCATGCTCAAATTGCAATGATATTATTTTTATAAGAAGCTCAATGACACATTGAACTCAATTAATACTGTTTTCCACATAATCTCTCTTCTCCAAAGGAATCTCTGTCATAAAGTACATAAGGACAGAGATAGGAGGAATTCCATCTCTAATTATGGATTTTCAGTAATTGGACCTGTTTGGCTGCAGTGCAGCTTAAGTCATTTCATATAGGCAACATTCTCTCAAAACTAGGAGCAAAGAAAATAAGAGCAAGAAGAGGAGCAAAGGAAAACACTGTCATTATTGGTTGCTGCAAGAGAGTCACATGAGAAAAAAACATGTGTTACCTTCTTTAGAGTATAAAAATACATCCTTTTTTGGTCTCTCTCTCTAGGTTTGAAGAAGAAATGACCAACAAGTGGTTACACCTCTTTGAAGGCAGTAAGGTCCCATATGGCCCAATCAACAATATGAAGAATGTATTTGCAGAACCTCAGGTTTGTTTTTTGACGCTTTTATTATACCATGATTAAAACAAAAATTTGCCTCTGTTTTCTATCCAGATTAATTTATATAAATGTAAATTAAACATTGGTCTTGCACTTTAATCATATAACTTGATCTTTTACTGTTATGTTAAGCTGTAGGTATGAAATAAAAAGATTTAAAATTTAGAACTGGCTGTCTACAATCATACTTTTATGTTTATCAGATCTAACATATTTTTTCAGCAGCCACTACATAAAATTTCCAAGGTCAGGACTTTTTTTTCTGAAAAATAGAAATATAGACCACTGAGAGCTTGGGGTTAGATACTCAAAGATCATTCTCTGTAAAAGGAAATATGAGAACTTTCACTGTTATAGACTACTCATAATATGGTTATCTTAAAATGTATAAAGCAAGGCATAGTTAATTCTGCCTATGAGAGGCTTTTATATGCATTAATGTGCATTATTCATGAAGAATAAATTGTAATTGAATAGAAATTTGTGCTTTACCTTTGATACAGGCTCCTTAGTGGAGCCCAGGAAAAAGGGTCAATGGGAAAAAAAAGTTTCTTCTATAATATTGTTTAAATGGTTATTTTTAGATGATGTCAAAATAATAAGTTTTATTTTATTACTTTAATCAATATCACAGCAAGCAATTTATCATTTCTGAGGTTCACATATTAATCCCTAAAGGTAGAGGAACTCCATGTCTCTGCAAAGGTTTCACTATGATTATTCACATAGCTTGTCAGTTTCCAGCATTTTGAAATTATAGTTTTAAAAATTATTTTAATTTATATAAATTAAATTTATATAAAATGACAGATTTTCTTTGAAATGAATTGTTGAAAATGGAATATACTTTTAAAAATTATATATATATATATATATATAACCTTTATTGATTTCAGAGAGAGGAAGGGAGGAGAGAGAGAGATAGAAACATCAATGATGAGAGAGTTGTCATTGATCGGTTGCCTCCTGCATGGCAGCAAATGGGATCGAGCTCGCAACCCGGGCATGTGCCCTGACCGGGACTCTAACAGAGATCTCCTGGATCCTAGGTCGATGCTCAACCACTGAGACACTGCCTGGCCAGGCTGGAATATACCTTTTGTTTGTTTTTGTTTTTTTGTGTTTGTTTTTTTAATTCCTCACCTGAGGATGTTTTTGCCATTGCTTTTCAGAGAGAGTGGAAAGGATAGTGAGAGAGAGGAAGAGAGAGAAACACTGATTGGTAGCGTCCTGCATAAGCCCTCACCAGGGCTGGGGATGAAACCTGCAACCGAGGTACATGCTCTTGGCCAGGATCGAACCCTGAACACTTCAGTCTGCAGGCTGACACTCTAAACCACTGAGCCAAACCAGCTAGGGCTAGAATATACTTTTTAAGAGAGAACTTTGTTGAAAACTGACCTAACCCTTTACTTTGGTACCTTTACCTTACATGAATATCTGTTTAAAAGAGAATTGAATGTGCCCTAGCTGGTTTGGCTCGGTGGTTAGAGTGCTGATTCTGTCCAAGGGCAGGTACCTTGGTTGCAGGCTCAGTCCCTGGCCCTGCTTGGTGCTGGAGCTAGAGGCAACAAATTGATGTTTCTCTCTCACATCGATGTTTCTCGCTCTCTCCCCTCTCCCCCTTCCACTCTCTCTGAAAAGCAGTGGAAAAAATGCCCTTGGGTGAGGATAAAAAAAAAAAGAGAGAGAGAGAATTGAATGTTTTAATTCAATGTTTACATATTTACTGAAGAAAAAAGTGAATGAATTCAGGAATTCTGCTTTTTGCTATTTTTTGGCCAAGACTGTGAGTATGGCAAGGCTATGTCTATAATGAAACAATGGTCAATAAGTATTTGAGATGAGGGAGCCCACTAGATATTCACAGAGTTTATGTGAAATGGTCCCCACCATATCAGCGAATTAATTCCTTGTGATTCCTTGTGGTGAGGTAGCAGTGTGCACACTCTAAATGTAGAAGACCAGACTGCCAGTTTTCTTACTCATAAACTTTGAATGAAGTAAATCTTTGGCTTTAAGCTGTTATGTGCGGATGGGTGGTTTTTATTGCTACTTTTCTGCTGAAAAGTGCTATAAAGCTGTGTAAGACTTCACATTTAACTCAATTGGAGGGCACATTTCTCTAGAGAGATTTCCTGAGAGTTCTTTCATCAGCAGTTTTGTTGCTCCATCCGTATTTCTTCAGGGATAAAGTCATTAAATAAAGAATGTTATTATAAAAAATCATTAGATATATTCTAAGGTTACCTATTTATTAGGCTTTGATGAACAACAATCCAAGTCCCACCCATCACCTTAAAATTGTTCACTTTATGGGCTTGTTCAGATTGAATATAGGATAAGTAGAATTTCAATTCCCAATTTTTACTTGTAGTTAAGTTTATTTACTTTAACCTTTGTATAACAAGTCTTTTTGACCTGCAAGAAATTTCTATTCTTGAGCTATGGTATATTTTCAGTACTTAGCTCATTTTCTAAATGGAGAAGATTGATACTACCTAAGCCAAGAGTCCAAATTTTCCTTCTACCCCCCAAATCTCTGAAAACTGCCTTCTTACACACCAAAAAGTAGATTCCAATTGCTATAATCCTAACCTTAAAAATTCTTAAACATGCAGTGATAGTTATTGATAATTTTACTCTAGTTGCAAGAGTAGAGTTGGTCTCTTTTATATATAATTTTATTCTTCTATGGAATTTAAATGCTAAAATGTATGTATAAAATTTATCTGGATTTTTAGTAAGATTAAAAATCCATGTAGTATTATTACATTTTTAAAGTAATCAAAAATAACCATGGCAACTATAAGTAGGACTTTTTTGCACAAGAGGTAAGGGTACTATCTTTCTCCTGTGCTTGGAAATGTTTGGCTCTTTTAGAAAGAAGTTCATATAATTTTGAATTTTGAAGGACTGTAGACTATGAAAAAATTAGGGAGTTTTAAAAAAAATTGTGTAAAATAAGTTATTTTACACAAATTTAAAAAGAACATCTAAAAATGACTATTTTGAGTTTATTCAAAAAACCTTTATAGTTCTTAATGTACCAGGCACTAGAACTTTAATATGGATTTGGAAATTTTCTTCCTTTCTGGAAAATAAATTCAAAATTGACTTAAGTAGAAGGTACATAGTAAATATTTGTTGATGCATGAATCAATGAATGAATGAATGAATTCTCTTCAAAGTATAGATTTTCCACATGATCAGGTGGCTACTGTATAACCCTGAGTGGGGCCTGACAAGCTCTATCTGTAGGCCTGGCTGAAAAGCCTTTGGTTGAAAAGCTCAGGGGACTAAGTATTACATAATGATTAAGACCATGGAGTTAAAATTAATAGGCAGTTTCATAAACTAGAAAGGCTTCAGCTTCCTCAACTGTAAAATGGTGAAATGGGATCTTTTCTTTATATTGTTATAAATGTTAAATGAGATAATGTTTATTAAGCACACATAGTAGGGACTGCCAAGGTGTAAATGCTCAATGAATGGTAGTAGCTTTGGTTTTGATGGTGCGCTTTATGGTTAGTTTTTTGTTAAAAAACTATTCTTTTACTTTTGTTTGATGGTTAGAGGCAAATCTAGTGTATCTGTGGAGATGGAGATCATTAACTTAAAATTGAATTCTAACTAATATCCTTTTTAAAAAATGCATCACCAAACTCTGTGCCAAGAAGTTCTCAACCATTCAGCATTTCTGATTATTGAAAGTCCTTTCATTTTTCATTTTCTGTAAAAGCATGATTTCTGTTTAAGGTGTCCTCCCTTGTTTCTCCCTTGATGAGATGTGGAGTTTCTTGGCCCTGGGTACATGGAGCCAGCCACATCTGTTCAGATGTGGGACCACACTGTTGGTGCCTGTGGCCCAGTTCTCCATGTACACCATGCCAGCACAGCTGGTATTTCAACTGAAAAGTGATTTGGGTGAAGTACAAGGCCTGGAACATGACATGGCACAAAAAGTGAGACTTTGATGAAGTGAAAGGGGGTATGTTTAATCAAAAAAAAAAAAAAAAAGGTTTAGAAACATCGCAAAATAGGAGAGCATTTTCTGTGGCCATACTTATTAAATGGACTGTTTATATTTCATTAGTGGTTTACATTTTCATTTTGGTAGACAACAGAAATTTACTTGATGGTAGAAACTATTTCTAACATAAATAATTTCTTTAGTGTCTGAAGAAAACTTGAGTTTTTGACTTTATGGAAACAGTAGATGATTTTTCTTTCTTTGATAAATGCAAGGTTCTCTACCTTTTATCTCTGATTATATATAACACAGTTAAAATGATACTACAGGTAAGCACTGTTAAGTTAATCATGAATACTATGGGGGTAGGAGTTTGGCCTATATTTACTGATAGGTCTGAGAAGTTTTGATCCAAAGCCCTTTTATTAGTGGTAGTTTTGTTGTTTTTGTCCCTCAACAATAAATTATGGAAAATTGTTTGCATTATAGTAGTATAGTTTATCTGCATATATATTTTAATAGTTGTTTTTCCAAGGGCTTTCTTAAAATATTTTCTTTTAATCGGGCCAAGATTTTGCAGCACATTAAAGGAATCTTAAAAAGCTTAAAAAACTTATTAAATGACCTCAGTATAGTCCCATGTGCATGAAATACATTGTGGTTTGAGGTTTTCCAACTCAAATAAACTTAAAAGAAAATGCAGCTTTTAATAGAAACTGTTCAAATTCCTGAAAAAAATAGGTATGGATCTCACCACTGAGAGTATTTAAGAGCATCATTACCAACCACAAGAATCAAAAGAGAATGTGTTATCTTGCTTTTTGTGTTTTGCTTAAAACTGTATGTTTGGCGATTCTTGTGTATTACCATCTTTGAATGGACTACTCAATTAAAAATATATATGTCTAATTGACTAAACTTCTGGTTAACATTTTTCTTTCTCCTTTATGGTGTGACCTCTGGTTGGGCAAAGGGTGTCATAAAATTGCTGTTATTTAACAGAGTCTTCACATTT